AGGTTATAAAACAGGGGGTAAGCCCAAGTGTTACCAACGTACTAAATGCCTATAACATAAATCTTAATCATAATAAGATACCAAATTAAAATATATTAAAAGCTGCAATACTAATGGAGAAATATTATCGTTAGTGTTGACATTAACACTATTTAATAAAGCATGATTTCTAACTTTAAGGTATTAATAGAAAAACGACAAGCCTCCACGAAAAGAGCTTAAAAGATTATCTTGCTCTCCGATTTTTGGTGTGTAACCGTAGAGGTATAAGGGGGCAGTCTACTTCCTATGTAATTTATACACTAATTCCTACTTTAATTATTTCATTTCGCTATTTTCGTCCACCACCTATGATGGTGCCGCCTAAGTATAACTTTGGTAGAAAGATTGGGAACAATCCTATGTTCTATAACGAAAACCTAAATCCAAGGGGTTTCAGCGCACGTAGCAACACCACAATATTAAAACTACGGTTATTTTTATACTATAATTATTTACACTACTGAAAGTTTATTGTTGGTTTTAGCGCAATACACAAATTATTTATAAAAATACAAATAAAAAAAAGTTATAATTAACAAAAAAATATAAATATAAAAACTTATAAATATAGAAAAATATTATATAAATATAAAAAATAATTTTGATATACAAATTTTTTTATAAATGCAGTCGACTTTTACATGATTCAAAAACGACGTAACTAATTCCAGCGGCCGGGACAACTTTGAATAAATTTGGAGCCAAACCTTTATAGAATCCCAAGAGTCCTTCCTAGCAATAATAATAAATAATAATATATATATTTAATAATAATAAACTACAAAAAACTTGAAAAAATTTTTTTTTAATATATAGAAAAATAGAGATTCTATATAATATAAATTTTTTTTAAATAGCCAAGTTTTCTTTTATGATATTTACAAAAGTTGTTTTTCTATAAAAATAAAAACTTTTAAGAAAAAAAGATTTTATAGTTATAAACTTCTTAAAAAAACTATTTTTAATAATAATAATTAATACTTTATTAATAATAATAATTATTAATTATAATAAATTATTATATAAAAAATTTTTTTTTAAATAGTAATAATAATAATTACGTCTTTAATAAAAAATAATTATAAACTTTTCTATAATAAAAAGTTTTTGATTGTAATTATAATTATCAAATAATAACAAACTATTATGTAAAAAAGGTTTTGTTTATAATAATAATAATTAAATATTAATGAACCATTATATAAAAAAAAAGTTTTTAAATATTTATAATAATTAACACTCTTAGACAACAATAGAAAAAGTGTTTATTAATAATAATTGATACTTTTATAATAATAATTATCTATAATATAAAACTATCATATAAAAAAGCTTTCTAGCAATATGAAGTTATAACATTTTTTAATAATAATTATTAATAATAAACTATTTTATAAAAAAAAGTTTTATTTATATAATAATAATTAATACATGATAATAATCATTATAAACAATCAAACTATTATAAAACATTTTTGTCCACAAATATAATACTTTTTAAAAAAAATAAGTAATAATAAATTATTATATAAATTTTATTTTGTTTACAATAAGAATAATTTTTACTTTATAATAATAATAAACCATAATTAAGTTTTTTTATATAATAATAAAAATAACTTTATGAAAAAAAATTTTTTTTTCAAATTTTTATTTAAATTTTAACAATAAACTTTTATAAAAATAATAATATAAATTGGTATTAATAATATTAACTTTAAAAAAGTATTTTTTTCTTTGTAATAGTAAAAGTTATAAAAAAAATTTCCTTTATAATATAAAGAATTAACAATAAAATTTTATTATTTGTATAATAATATTAAATAATAATATTTATTAATAAAAGTTTTTTTAATAACAGAAAAAAAAGTGATAATTTTTTATAATAAAGCTTTAATACAAAAAAAGTTTTTTTTTAATATTTATTATTATTATTAAATATAAATTAAATAATAAAATTATACAATTGTTGCAAAATGTTATATATTTTATTATACTAAGAAATAATATTGTATGAAAAATATATAATAAAAATAACAAATAAAAAAAATTTCTATAGAATATTACAAAAAGTATTTAAAATATTTATAAAAATAATAATATAAATATAAGCAAATATATTTTTTTTAATTTATTATAATAAACTTATTAAAAAATTTTTTTTAATAATAATAAATTTGAAAAAGTATTTTTTTTTAAAAATAAAAATAAACTTTATGATAGTAATAATAAATAAATTTTTATAAAAATATATTAATAAACTTTAGAAAAAAATACTTGATTATATATTATTTATTATTTAACTTTAAGTAAATTTTTTTTTAATAGTAGTAAATATATAAATTTTTATATAAATGATATAAACTTTTTTTTTAATTATAGATAAGATTAACTCTCTTATTAAATAAAAATAAACTTGAAAAAATTAATAATAATAATATAAACTTTGAAAAGTATTTTTTTAATAATATCAATTCTCTTAAAAAAAATAAAAATAAGCTTTTACTAATGAAATTTTCGATAATTATAATATATAAATTTTTATTAAAATAAATATATAAACTTTAAGAATTATTTTTTAATAATAATATTAATTCTAATAAAAAATTATAAAATAAACTTTTATTTAAATAAGAATAATAAATATTAAAATAATTTTATAATAATATAAAAATTATTAATTCTCACAAAAAAATAATAAAAATTTTGGTAAGAACAATAATTAAAGTTTATTTAAATAATAATAACCATTATAAAATAAATTTTAAAATATTATATATTAATATACTTAAAAAAAAAATAAAACAAACTTTTTAAAAAATAATTTTTTTAAGAATAATAAGTAAATTTTTATTTAAATTATAATAAACTTTAAAAAAGTATTATTTTTTTTATAATAAAAATATTAGCTCTTGGAAAATAATAAAAATAGACTTTTTCTTAAAAAAAATGTCTTCAATTATGACAACAATAATATATTTTTTAAAAAGTTTATTTAAAATAAAAATAAACTTAGAAAAAAATTTTTAAATAATAATACAAAAGTTTTATGTTTTTTTTAATATAAAATAATAAATAGTACTTTTTTATTCCTAATAATAATAAACTTTATTAATAAAAAGTTTTCTTGTAATAAAAAATAATAAATTTAAGTTAAAAAAAATAATTATAAATAATATAAACTTTTTAATAATAATAAATAATACTTGGATTAAAAGTTTCTTTTAAATATTATATTAATAATAGTTTTCTAAAGAAAAGTTTTTTTTATTAGTTATAATAAAGGAAACTTCCTAACAATAATAAAAAGTTTCATAAAATAAACAGTTTTGTTAAAAAGAATAAGATATAATATAAAAAGGTTTTTATATTAGGTATATTTTTTAATAATTTTTCTTTTAAATAAATAATAAGTAAAACTTAATAATTATATTAATAAAAAGTTTAATATAAACTATAATAATAATAAAATATACAAATAGATAAAAACTTTTTTACATAGTAATAATTAATAAAACTTTATTTAAAAAATATTAAAGTTTTATAACAAAAATATACAAAACTTTGAAAAATATAATAAAAAAAATTTTTTTATAGTAATAATAATAAAAGTTTTATAATAATAGTAATACATATTTATAAGTTTTCTTGAAAACATCGAGCATATTCTCGTAATTTGGTGTATTACTAATGCTTTGAGCTTGAAGCCTTTAATAAAAATAATAAATAGTAAAAAAGTATGTAAATATACTTAAAATAAAAATAAATAAATATAAAAAGTTAAATAAAAAGTTTATATAACTATAATAAAATAATAAATAATATCAAAAAAAGTATATAAATATATTTTAAATAGAAAAAAGTTTAAAAAAAACTAACAAAAAGTTTATATAAATAAAATAATAATAAAAATAATAAATAAATATGCAATAAAAAAAGTTAAAAAAGTAGTTAAAAAAGTCTATAAATATACTTCGAATTATTATAAGTTTTAACCAATCTATAATAACTTAACATGTTTTAATAATAATAAATAGTAAAAGAAGTATATAAATATAATATGAATAATAAAAGTTTTAAAAATATAAAAAACTAAATAAATATTAATACATAAAGTTTCTATAAATAACATAACAAAAAAATATATATCTACTTTATATAAAAAACTAAAAAGTATTTCATAATAATAATAATAATAGCAAAAAAGTTATCATTTATTAATAAAACTTTTTAGTCATTTTTATTAATTATTGTGGGTAATTATAATTTTTTTATATTTTTTTTGCTGTCAAGATTTGAAATTTTTTATATTTATTTTTTTTGGTTCATGAATATATTTATTATATTTTTATTATTATATATAAAAAATTTACTTAACGTTCGTGACTATAATTTCATTATTTTATAATATAAAAAAATAAATAAAATAATAATAAATAGTAAAAAAGTATAAGTAATACTTTAAAATATGAATATTAAATAAATATAAAATTAAAATAAATAAAAATACTTTAAATTAAAAAAGTTTATCTAAATAATAATAAATAGAAATATATTATAAATAAAAAAAATTATATAAAATAATATTAATAAATAGTAAAAAATAAAAAAAAAAGTTTATATAAATATTATTATTATAAATAGTAAAAAAAAAAATTATAAGCATAAATATTAATAAAGTAAATTTTAATAAAATATTAAAAAAGTTATTAATAAAAAGCAATAAACTTTAAATGCAAAAATAAAAATGAACTCGAAAGCAATTGGTTAATTTAAAAAATAAAAATTAATAGGGAGCTCTGATTAGTCAATTACGGCGGAGTGGCAAATGTAGTGGAAGAAAAATTTTATAACATAATAATACCGAAAATGATAAATAATTAATAAAAGTAATAGTTAAAGTAGTAATAATAATTATAATATTAACAGTAATAATAATAGTAATAATAATAAATAACCGAGTGCGTACTAAAGATAATGGATACACTGCTGTTACGGCTATTGCACTTGAAACAGTTCCTTTAATAATAATAATAATAATAATAATAATAATAATAATAATAATAATAATAATAGGTAAAAAGTAATATATAATGATAACTTTTTGAGATATTAAAAAAATTTTATTAGTAAAATATTTATAATACTATTTTATATATATAATATTATTTAGTAAATTAACATTTATAATAGCAGTAATAAGTTAAGGAGGATTAAAGTAATATCTTTCCCGTACTTACTATTTTTTCTTTCTTATATTTCTATAAATATTTTATTAATATTGTTTATTATTAACTTTGTTTTAATAAAAAATCGATAGTTAGTAACTTATTTAATAAATAATAATAAGTAAAAGTTATAAAATACTAATAACTTTTCAATACAACTATTTTGCCTTTTTATTTATTTATTATTATTCTTACAATTATATATAATTAACTTTTATATAAAATATAATATTTAGTAACAATAATAAGTAAAAGCTAATAAATATAAAACTTTATATATAACTTTCCTTACTTTTTTTTTCTTTTATAAAATATTTTATTACTTATTATTAACTTTTTATACAATATAAAATAATATTTAGTAAATTACTTGAAAATAATGATAATAAGTAAAAGATAATAAATATTAATACTTCTTTATAAACTATTTTCGGTTTTTTTTTTTCTTTTAATATTTTATATTATATACTATTATATATATTCAACATTATATCCAATATAAAATAATATTTACTAAACTTCCTGTTTACATTAATTAGTAATAATTATAATATAATAATAATAAGTAAAAGTTATTATATAATAACTTTTCAATAAAACTTTTCTTATTTCTTGTTTATATTGTTTAATATTAATATTTAAGTTTTTCTTTAAAAAAAAAAAATAATTTTAAAAATTTTTAGTAGTTATTATAATAATAATATAAATAATAATAAGCAAAAAGTTAATAAATAATCATATCTATACAATTTATTATTTACTACTTTATTTCTCTTTCTATTTAAATATAATAACAATACTTTTATTATTTTTAAAAGTTTTTTATAATATAATAATATATAGAAAACTTTTTGTAAAGGTTTTTTAATAATAATAATAACGAAAAAGTAAATAAGTTTAAAACTTACAATTTAACTTTTACTGATTACCTCAATTATATATAATTACCATTTTTTTATATTCAAGTAATATTTAATAATATTTAGTAAACTTTATATAAAGCAGTTTGTATATAATAATAACAATAGTAGTAACAATGATAAGAGTAAGCAAACCGCATGCTAAAGTTACTAAAGCGTTGGGATGGCGGTCCCGGCGATTCATATAAGAACGTTTTAAGCTTTCAAACACGCTCAAGTCAAGCGCTTTTATAATTGTATTTATTAATCATTATTATTATTATTTATCATATTATATATTTATTATTGTTATAGTCATAATTATATATTACTAATATTAAATTTATTATTTTTTTATTATTAGTTTATTATTTATAAGCAAACATGACAAAATACTATTAAAAAGTAAAAAATACACGTGGGCAATAAAGCCTAACCAACAGTTTTAAGCCAGCGTGGCTGATGCTTGAAATTTTAATATAATAATTATAATAAAATCTACAGCGAAAGTGTAATAGATTCACTATAATCAGTAAAAAAACAAATTTCAATACTACAAAAAACAGTGAAAATTATCCCCAACATATATTTGCATTAATTTTATTATTATACTTAATATTTTTCAACCTGCAAACGGGACAACCCCCAACAACGCCGGTTTGATGCCTTGAAAAAAAGCAACCAATCCCTCCTTCTTTAAAATACCCGTAAAAGTTTTCACCAATCCCTATAAAGAAAACTTTATTACGTAAGTATATCATAAAAAGGTATCAATATTATAATTAATGGTAACGATTTATTTTAAAAGTGTCATTATACAATTATAAACATGAATAATATATTCCAATTATTTAATGAATAAAAAAGTAAACAACCAATCAGTATTGAATGAAATAACAATATAAGAAATAAATACACAGCAGCAATCCGCCTTGATTTTACTTATTATTTCTTTTACAATTAATAATTATATTAATATTTTTAGTAAAACTAAATAACAACTTTAAAATAATTAACATTAATAATAATAAACTTTTTACCTTTTATTCAAGTTTTATATAAAACTTACATTAAGTGTAATAATGAAAGATAATAATAAAAATATAAATCTGTTAAAAGCTCATCTTTTTGGAAGTAACAAGAAATAAAACAACATTACTGACAGTAAAATAATATAACTTTGAAGAAAACTTAGTAACTATCTAAAGACGTGAATTTTATATAATGTTAATATATTATAAAAGTTGAATTATTTTTTAGGGAAAAGTGAATATATAATTATATTACAGCCAGAATTTAACTAAAATAACATTATTTTGTAAAAAAAGTAAATAAAAATACAATTTTTTTAATAATAATATATAAATGGAATAACTTTTAATTAATAATAAAAATTCTAAAACTTTATAATTGGAGAACTTTTTTCATAACAATTAGTAGTAATAATAAAAATTCTTCAAAATCTCGGAAATAATAAATTTATCATAATAATAAGAAAAAGTATAAACTAAAAATTATTATTATAAACAAAAACTTCATTAAAAGTTTTATAAAAAAACGAAACTTTTTCTCAACAAACTTTCATTATTTTAAGGGCAATTATAATATTATAAATACCAAATAATGATATATAACTACCTACGTTCTAAACTGTATCAAATTAGAACTATTCTGGATCACAGCAAAAAAAAGTAATACAGTAAAAAAATGACCAATCAATACAAAATTTTATATTTATATCAACCAATGCTTGAATTTATTGTATGTGACAGCTTAAGGTATTGGCGAATCAGAGATCATTTTTACAAGTGTTTCAGTTTTATTTCCACGTGTTTGTAATATAAACTTTTGTTATCTTTCAATTAATAACCATAAGAAGAATTAAACCTATCTTGTAACAATTTACAAATAAACTGATCCATTATTTTAACCAAGTTACCAAAAAGAATTATTTGGTTTTATAAAGTTGGGCCAATGAGAGAACCTCTACGGTAATATAGGCAACAAAGTAAATGATGCAAATTTTGCAGCAAATACAATTTATTTGGACCAGTATTAATATTAATTTACCTTAAATGGAACCGAATTGTAAGATAAAAAGCAATTTTTAACCAATACGCGATATTCCAAGAGCAAAATTAACATATTTCTTACAGCAATACACAATTTTAGGTTACTATAAACGGGACCCAATACTACGATATAATGGAACTTCAGAACAATATGTACCAATTTATGATTAACTTGAACTTTTAGACACTAATTTGGGCCCAACTTTAGTGTAAATTCAATTGTTAAACAATACAAAGCAAACACTTCACGTGTATTTTTTCACTCCCAAAAAATTTCCTTTATTATCAAATTTTTTTGTGGATCCCATAACCGCCGATATTATAAATTTTAGTTTTAATAAATTTTACTATAATAAACTTTAATAAAAATTTCCATTATTTCCTAAAATAGTATAAACTTTTTTTACTTTAAAAAATATAATATAAAACATTAAAACCGATAGAAATAAAAAAGAAAGTATTAAAAATTATACACATTATAATAAAAATTATATATTAATAGTAATAATAATAACAACTATAGTAACTAATAATTATCAGCATAATAACCAGTCGTTTTTCTTGCGTTATTAGGCGAGTTTTCAAAACTTCAAGAGGGTAGACAGCGGCTTGTGCTGTAAGTCCTGCTAATCCTCCAGAGATTAGTCTGCAAGATAATAAATAATAATAAATAATTGTAATAATAACTGTAATAATATAAAGAATAAACAAGGAGTATTATTATAATACATCAATTTATAAATATATTTTTTATTGGCTATAAAAATTATAATAAATTTTTTAATTATTTTTAAGTATAAATAATTTCATTGGCTACAGTTGTAAAGTTTCATTTTTCTTTTTAAATATATCAATTCATTGGCTTAAATTTTTAATAAGGAAATTTAATAATAAATTATTGTATATAAACTGTAGTAAATTTGTAAAATAATTTATTTGTATTTCATATTATAAAGTTTACTATAATAAATATATAAAAAGAGTTAATTTTACTTTGTACTAATAAGTAAATAAATTCATGTTTATACATAAAACTTGATGATAATACTACTCAAGTTTATATTAATTATACAAAAATTGATATTTCATACTGTAAGCTTAAAAATAATGAACATTTTATATTAATAATAAAAAAATTCAAGATATTAATTTTATAACCATCTGATTGGTTAATATTAAACCAACCAAAAGGGAGAAATTAAATAAATAAAAATAAAAAAATATACACTGAAAATTATATTGTTATATTAATTAGTAAACAAATATTTATTATAAATAATTTTTGTAGTCTTAAAAAAAGTAAATTTATGGTAAATAATATTTATTTAAAGCGAAAAAAAGAAAAATTTTAATACATAGTAAAATAATTTAATTGGTCAAAAATTTTAAGGTCTCTGAGTGGTCTGCAATAAAAAATTTATCTCGCTAAAATTTTTAACAAAAGCTCAACAAATTTTAAAATATAATAAAAATAGACGAAAAAGTTCAGAAACTTAAAATGTTTCTGATTGGCGTGTTATAAAAGACCTCATTTTTATACTTATTTGCTCAGAATCGGCATTTAACCACTTTTTTACTTGTTCATATGAGAAAAACTTTACGGCCGTCTCTGGAGCTAAAATAATTATATATAATAAATTATATTATAGGTAACAATAAAAAATATATAATAAATTATAATAATAATGAAGTAAGTATCCAATAATAGAGGTAATAATATTTAAAAGATAATAAATTAAAAAATATAAATTATAAATAGTGACAAATAATGTATTAAAAAATAATAAATAATAAATAATAATATCAACATATATAAAAATAAAATTTATAACCATGTGTAAGAAAAAAATAAATAAATAATAATATATATATATATAATAAAACATATTTATTTTTAATATTTTCTGTATTTTTTTTTCTTTATAAGTTTTATGAACTTGTGATATAGTGTTTTTATTTATTTTAAAATATAAAAAAGTAATAATAATAATAATAAATAAATAAATAATAATGTATAAGAAATACGTTAACAAACAATAATAATATATAGAAAATATATAATAAGTAATATATTATAAAAAATAATATATTACATATATAAAATATAGATAAACATGGTGATAATATATAAAAAATAAATATTATCTACAAAAATAAATAATAAATAATAAATAATATATATAAAATGATAAATGATAATAATTAATAATAATATTAATATAAAAAAAATTTAATAATAATAAGATACCGATTTTCAAAACATTTATACCGTTGCCCCTCCAAAATCCGGTTATGCCAGACTCTTTATAGATCGTTCTAAAACCATTTATTATTCCTTTATACTAAAATAATAAAAGTTTATAATATAATTAGTAGTAGTAGTAATATATATAATAATAAATATAAAAATATATAGTAAAACATATATAATAAAAATTAATTTATATATGATATAGAATACTTTCGGGTTCTTACTAGACTGCACTTGAAGTAAAACTTTTAGACGGTCCAGTGGCGCGGTAACTATAATAATAATAATAATAATAATAATAATAATAATAATAATAATAATAATAATAAAAACTGACCAGTACGTGAAGAAGCGCCAGCAATTCCGCCAGCCACAAAATATTTTCCAATTTGCTGAAGAGAAATTCCTTCCGGAATAATAACGCTCTCGCCGATATCCACTAACGGGTCTATAATAAAAAATTTGGCCAATAGGTGACGAGGCTCGTCTTATTAGCCAATCAGAACCTGAAAAAATAACACCATAAACCGCTGAAATATTTGTATTCAACGGAAATAATAATAAAAAGTCCCGCCACTCGTCGTAGGTGACAACGCCGTTGCGGTCGCGATCTATAAAGGACACAAACCGTTCAAGTTCCTTTTAGTATTATTATTATTATTATTGGCGTTGTTGTTACAGTTATTATTATTAATACTATTATAATTATCCCTACTATCACTATTATAATTATGATTTCTATTTCTTTATTAGTATTATTATTATAATAACTGTTACTATTTTTTTAATATGATTACTTCCGTTAGTATTATTAATTATTATTGATAATATTATTACTATAATTAGTATTGGTGTTAGTATTATTATTATTACTAAATATTATAATATTATCATTACTAGTAGTAGTAATAACGGTATTAGTAATATAAGTACTACTATTATTATTAGTATTATTTTATATAATTACAACGGTAATAAAATAATTACTATTATTATAAATAATATTATCAGCAAAATATTAATTATTAATAGTTTTATTACGAATAAAAGGAAAATTTATATATAAAATAATGAAAACAAATTCGTCCTTAAAAAAATTTCATGTTCTTAAAAATATTAAAAAATGGACTTTTTTATTTGTATACGTTTTTCTTCTTTTTTTAAACAAGTGAACCAATTTTGTTAGCGACTATAAAATAACGACTAATTGAACTTTTTGGATTAAAAAAAATTCTCGTAAATGCTCATCAGTTATTTATTTTATTACTTTAACTTTTACTATTATTATTTTATAAAAAATTTTTAAGCAATTTCAAAATTAATCTAAAAAAAAACCAATGACCATAAAAATAATTGATATTTCTCAGCCCGTCTCGATTATTGGTCGAAATTTATGTAAAGCTTTCAGCCAATAACAATTAATATAAAAAATCGTTTTTATTGGTCCATTCACTAGTAAACGATTTTTTTTTAAAACCAAATTAACCATAAAAACACGTGGTTAAGGGAGGCTATGATTTGAGCAGAAGTGAAGGGGAAATAAAAATAAATGAATGCTAAGAAAACTGTATTTAACACACTTTTGATATTAAGTGCCAAATACTTTTAAACATCCAATAACTATAGTTCATGGTATTATAATAATGATTCATTATATACGTTAGCAAAATAAAAGTAAGCAACAAAAATTTACCAAAATGACATATAACGAAATATTTAATAATATTTTAATAACAGGCAGTTTTTAATAAAAACGAGCAAATTAGCGTGAAGTAATACCAAATAAACGCCTCATGCATGCAAATTATAAATTAGACTTAGTTTTTATTAAAATATATATATTGGTAGGTTTAAAATTTAATTTGAATGTACGATCAATAAATTGGTAGAATAACTTACATATGAGCAAATTATTACAAAAAGGAAAAAAATCAGCGTTGAACCTCAATAGTCACACAAACGCCTTCCCTTTCCAGTGCAATTTTCAGCTAAAGAGTAATAATAATAATAGTAATAATAATAATGAAAAAATAAAAGTAAATAAAAATAATAAAATTTAAGCAAATTTCTGTAAACTACAGAAAAGCACGTGACATAAAATTAAACACTGCTACTGGCTACTCATAACACGCGAAAAATTTTAGCATAGCAGCTCCTGTTCTTTCTAGCCACGTGAATATATATTTAAAATTCTTATCGGTTCTTAGTAGTATCCGCGATTTCAAAAGGGCTTTCTTATAGACTCTTAATATTAAGTAAGCGCACGATTGGTTTAAATTTAAATATTACGCAACAACAACAACCACAAAATAATAATAATAATAATAATAAACTTCAAAAGTTTTAAGACGGCCATCATTTTCTGTATCAATTCTGTGGAAAAGTTCTTTAATCTAAATAAAATATAAATATTTTATTATTATTATTTCTTTGAAAAACATTCTTTTAGTAAATAATAAATATAACAATATTATTAAAAAAATATACTTTGAAAAATATCAATAATGTTATTTTTACATATAATAGGTAGTTCCTCCCAAAAAAATATATACAATAATTTTACTTTTCAAGGAAAAAGTTATTGATATTAAAAAAATATATTTACATAGAAATGTGATTACTATGAAAAGAAAAAAAATTTATAATAAAAATAATAAAAAAATATTATTATCACTTTTAAAGGTAAAAAAAGTTTTTTTATTTATATATACTTTTATACAAAACATTATTACTATTAAAAAAAAATTCTTCTAATAAATAATGTAACCACTGAAATTTGTATTACTGTCATAAATAAATAAAATTTTATTATTATAAAACATGAATGATAAACTATTATTACTTTTATAAGAAAAAATGTTCTTTCTATAAAAAATAAGTATATAATATTATTTTTTAAAAATGTAATATTTTCAAAGTAAAAAAAGTTCTGATAAAAAATATATATAATATTATTAATATCACTTTAAAAAAGAAATAAGTTTTTTTACATACATAAAAAGAAAAATAATATAATATTTTTATTCCTTCTATAAGAAGAAAAGTTCTTTCTATATGAAAATATTATTATTGTTACTTTCGAAGAAAATAAAAATTTTAATAAAAAAAATATATAGCATAATTATATTATTACTTTGAAAAAGAAAAAAGTTTTAAAAGAAATATATTATTAATATTACTATTATAGATAAAAAAGTTTTTTCTATAAAAATATATAAAAACTAATTATTACTTTTATAAATAGAAGTTTTTTTAATAAAAGAAAGTAAAAGAGTTATTACTTTCAAAAAGAAAAAAAGTTTTCTATATGAAAAAAAACCTAATTAAAAAAAATTATTAATACTTTCCAAGTAAAAAGAGTCCTAATAAAAAAAATATTGTTAATATTATTACTACCAAAAATAAAAAGTTTTCTTTAAAAAAAAAATATATAAAAATTATTATTATACTCAAAGTAGAAAAAGTATTTTCTATAGAACATATAAAAATGTTATTATTACCTTCAAAGTAATAAGAGTTCTTATAAAAAAATATATAATATTATTATTACGGTTCTAATATAAATAAAATTATTAGTATTATTACTATCAAATAATAATTCTTTTAATAAAAAAAGTAAAGTAGTAAAAAAAAAAATGTAAAAATTATCTTTATATAAAAATATTATTATGTTAACTTAAATGAATAAATAAATTACTATTTATAAAAAATAAATATAAAAATTTTTTATAATTTTTAAAGTAAATAAAAAGTTGTAAACTTTATAAAAAATAAAACTAAAAAAACTTTGTACTTTTTTGTTTTTTACTGAAAATAAAAAGTTTTTCTACATGTTCATATAAAAATAAAATAAAAGTTGACTCTTTGAAACTTTTTACTTTTTATTTATAATTAAAAACTTATAAAAATTTATATATATAAAATAAAATTTTACTTCTTAAAAACTTTTTATTTTTTATTAATAAATAAATAAATATTTACTTTTTTTATACAAAAAATAAAAAACAGTAAACTTTTATAAAAAAGTTTTAATATTTTTTATAAATAAAAAACTTTCAAATACTTATCCTAAAGTTATAACAAAAAAATTTCAGACTTGGAAAAAAATATAAAAAAACTTTTTTGTACTTTTTAGTTACTTTTTGTTTTATTATTAGAAAAAAAAAATTCCTGCTTTTCCACCTTTTTTTTTTACTATTAGTTTTTTATTATAAAAGAAAATTTTTAATACTTTTTTTATTAAAAAAAAGTTTTTCAACACTTTTATATAAAAATTTAACAAAATATATTTTTTTATATAAAAATCTTTATATACTTTTTTCCTTACTTAAAAAATAAAACTGAAAAAAAAAAATTATATACTTTTTTTTACTTTTTACTGATAAAAAAAACCTTTTTTTCTTTCTCAAAAAAAAACTTCAAAAAATTAGAAAACTCGATAACGTGATTCTCATTGGCACATTCCCGCTAAAAAATTCATTAATATTCATGAGAGCCCAACAAAAAAATTCTCATTGGAGTAATAAAAACATTGATTTTGGTTAATGATATTATAAAGAAACCAAGAAGGCACAGAATAATAATAATAAATAAAAGTAGTATACATTTTCATTAATAAATTTATAGAAATTATTTAAAAATATAATAAAGTTTAAAAATAATAATAATAAAAAGTAAAAAAAAAAATTATATAAAATATATAATAATATTAAAAGTTAATTATAATATTGCCTTAAAAAAGTCTTAAAAGTATATATATATAAAAAAGTAAAAAAATATATTTTTTTAAAGTAAATATTATTAAATTTATTATTATAATAATCATAAGTAAAAGTAAATAAATAAAAATAAAAATATTATTAAGTTTATTATAATAATAAAAAAAGTTTATTAAGTAAATATAATAAATAAAAGCAAAAAATACTTTCATATAAAAAAATTATAAAACATTATAATAAACTTAAAAATAGTACATAAAAATAAACAAAAGTAAATAAATATATAATAAAATATTATGTAATAATAAGAAAAGTTAATGAAGTATTAAAATATAAAAGTAAATCCTAAACTTCTTTATAATAAATAATTATTATTTTATATAAATTATTATAACAAAAACTACATTAAAAAATTTCTAAAGTAAATAGTAATAAGTAAAAGTGTTATATAGACTATTATTTATTTCTTTAATATAAGTTCCTAAAAAAAATAATAGCAAAAAAAAATTTACATGCGAACGTTAATAAATAAAACTTTTTATAATAAACTTTTTTAGTAAAAAAAATAGTTAATAAAAACTTTATATATTTTTATTTCAGTACCAGTAACTCCTGCGCGTAATCCGCTGGAAGATCCCAATTATGATAAGCTGTGAGGGCCTTTTAAAAAATAGTACTAAACTTTTTTTAATATAAAAATATTGAAAGAATTACTTTCTCTAAAGTAATAACTCCAGAAGAATCAATATCAATTCTATTAATATATATTTAAAAAAGTTTACATAAAGTTTGGAAAGTTAAAAAATATATAAATATAAAAAATATAATAAAAAAGTATATAAATATAATTTATATAAGTTTGAGAACTTTAGAAAAATTATTTAATATAAAATATACGTAATAACATATAAAAAAATAAAAGTTTGTAAACTTTAAAAAAATATATAAATAAAAAAGTTCGTAAACATAAAAAAAATAACATATAATAAAAAATACAACAAAAATATATAAAATAAAAAAGTTTGTAAAGTTCAACAGACTTAAAACATAATAAATTCTACCACTAATTAATAGTAGAGCATAACAAAAAATTGTTATTAACAAGAGCCCGATCAAAAGAGATATTTAATATAAGCTATAACGAGAGTAGGCGACTGGTAGAGAAGTATCATTACTCATTATTATTAATTCTATTATCACAATAATAATTATTAATACTAGGGTTGAAGTAGAGACGCTATAGGAAATCACTCAAAACTACGCGTACTGAAGCTGGAAACAACAAAATAAAAAAAAAGTAAAAACTGTGAAGTTTCGAAGTAATAAACTAAAAAATATAAAAAAATGAAAATATTAAAAAAAATTTTAACCCTAAATTCAACCAATAAAACTTTACTTTGTATTGCAGCCAATCACAGTGTTTTTAAAAGAATAAAAGAGCAACCAAATTAACTTAATAATGGGCCTTTTTAAATATACCGGCAGGTTGATAATTAAATTATATGTTTCACGTGGGAAGACCCACTCAAAATTGGGTAAATATGGTATAAAAGTTTTTCTTAAACTAATTTAATTAAAAAATTTCTATTAAAATTAAACTCGGAAATTTAAGTAAAAATATCAAAAAGTAAAAGTAAAATTAAAAAATTAAAATAAACAGTCCACAATAAAATAACTTATAATTAAATATAATAATAAGTTATTATAGTTTTATGTGCTTACTATTAACATATAATTATTTAGTTTAATAAAAAAATAAAAATAAAGATATATAAATGTATATTTATAAAAACTATATAATACTATAAATAAATTTATGAAAATACTTATAAATTAAAAGTCTTTTATTTAAAAATAAATATAAGAAAAAACTGACTAGAAATCTAAATAAAAATAAAATATTATTAAATACACTTTTAGTAAAAATAAGAGTTAACAATTTAAATATTAATTATTTGTGAGAGTTAACTATGATTTAAAGTATTATAAGAAGGTGTAAATATATAAGTGATAATTAATAAATCCTAACAGTATATTCATTATAAGTAAAAATAAGTATTAGTACAAAATAATCACCAACAGATGTAATAATTTTAAATTAAAATTTGCTTAAAAAATATTTAAAAACATATTTCAAACTAAATGCTGAGCTTTTATATAACGTAAATATTAATTATAAAATAAAGTAACGTTTTTTAAAAAAATATAGCAGAAAGCATTACAGATCAAACAAAGTACGAATGATCCATTCTAATTCTTTTGTGGGCTTATTCGAGTCAATGGATAACTCTTTTTGTTTAAAAAGTTCGCTACTTTGCATACTATTTTTATATTACTTAAGCTTTGTCCATCTAAAATTTTTAAAAAAATTAAAATTAAAGGTAATAAATAATTTAAGAAAAGTAAATTATGTAAATAATATAACTGATTAAAAGTTTTAGTAGATTAATAACGTAACTGTAGTTAACATTAAAATATCAACTCCAAACAAAAAAAGGAGTAATTATGTACTATAAAAAATTTTAAACCTTAAATTATATATAAGCAATAATATTTATTGATATAAAAAATAGTTACTTATATATTATTAGTTAATAAAACTTTTCTGATATATAAATAACTTTTGTTTAAATTTAACCAAACCATCATAGTTAGCATATCAGCTAGGAAGTACTAAATTTTCCAACAATGCACCCGCACGTGGCCTAAAAACTGCAGAGTATTATTTTCATTATCAATATTAAGTGTTGTTGTTATTGTACATTATTATTATAGTAAACATAATAATAATTAGAATTATTTTATAATAATAATTATAATTATTGTTTTCTGTTTCAAAGTTTTCAACTTGGCCATGACAAAAAAGTTTATTAATAATCCTTATATAGCGTCTTTTGTACTTAGTGTGATTTTTGCAAATTTTCTACTTTTTCAAAGCATTAAGAAATAGTTTATTAATAATACTGTTACAACGAGGCGCAGGTAAGTCGTGCTCCTAAACAGAGATTATCGGTATACAAGGGCAAATTATTAAACTTTTTTCATACAAGGAACTTGAAATAGAAAGTATGCAAACTTTTAAACTACTTAGTGCTTACTACAACACTATTCACTGCAACAATATTATATAACTATTGTAAAAAGAAAAAGAAGCTTAGCTTGCAAAAAGAAATAAAAACAAAAGTTTTTTAGGGTAAAACTTAAAACAAAATACTCTATTTTTACTGAAAAATAAGTGTTTTATCGAAATAAAGTTATATATTTTGCTCAAGAGAAAAGATACTTAATTATATTGTAATGCAATACCTTCATTTATTCATTAAGCATCCCTTAATAAGTGTTTATAGTGTCATTGATCCTTGGGCATTGCCAAACCAGTATATTAAGAAAAATTTTTAAAAAAAAAATTTTGATAAGGAAAAAGTTAAGGCTTTAATTAAAAAGATTCACCTAAATGAATTTTATAATTATATATGGAGCCTATTTTTTCTAATAATAGCAACTAAGTAGTAAAAAGTTGATAACACCCCTCGAACTTTACTTTTAAACTTTTTACATAATGTTGCAAGCTTATGTAGTAAAAGTTTTAATATAAAAAACAGTAGCATTGCTGCACTAAGATGGTAATATGTCACAGTTTTACATGTTAACAGCATTATTAGCTTCAAAGGGAAATATAGAGATCATTACTTCTAATACAACGATATTTTAGTAAGGTTTTTGCCTTAATCATGTCTTCATGATGTAAATTGTGGTAATTACTACAGTATAAATACTTGTGTAGTAGAGTTCTTTGAAGGTAATTCCAACTATTAAAGTAATTCTGCAGTTATCGGGATAGCTCAAATGTGATATTTTATTAATTTTGAGAAAAGTTACTCGTTAATATTGCTTTAGTGACTTATTAAATATTGTATACATAAAAATGAGAAAAATATATAAAAAATATTACTCTTAACACAGAATAGATGTCGATATCTCTAAAGGCCTAGTAATAATTATCGATGATATAGACTTACATTGGTAATCATATCTATTACTAGTTAAATGAGCTTTAGTGAGGAGTCATGGTTAGTGCTCACTTAATTAAAGTAAGATTTAAAGATTGCGTGAATCTTGTACGCAAGAGCCAGTTATACTAATTAATATGTTAGTAATATGCGCCTGTGAGCAGCGTATAGAAAAACTTTAAAACGACGTACTCAATCAAGATATTTTTTCTCTCGGCTATAGTGCCAAGTTATTTAATGAAAGAGTTCCGCTCCTACCCCCTTTTATTATATAATTACCGCGCTATAGTAAAATCGGTAGAACTACGCGAAGTGGAGGTTTAGAGTAAGATATAAAATATTAATTAATTGGTACCCTCTTGTAATCGGTTGAGTTTATTAACTCTCTTTACTAGCATGGACAGGCAGCTTTGAACTTAATAACGAATTTTCTTATAAAACATCTTGCAAACTGTAACAAGTTAAATACGTAAAACCATCATACCGAGATTGAGCGGTTAAAAGTAATAGAATGAAACAAAAATAAATAAAAGGAGTTGATTTTTTATCAGTTCTGTATAGCTTTTATATATAAAATTTAAAAATTTTTTTAGGAAATTAAAAATGTACGGGAATATTCTTATATGCATATTATTTTGAGTTTTGATGCCTTATATTCCATTACAAGGCATTAAAGCGCATACGCAAGGTGGTGGGTTCGATCCAATTGACGCCTATGCTTCTTCGGTCATTAATAAATAATTGCGTAAATAAACTCCCCCTTCCTAAATTTCTAATAAACTGCGCATCTTAGAGCCGCAGGACCCAACGCACATGGAAGACGGGGGAAATATTCATAATTAAATGGCAATGGAGGCTCTTTCAAAACTCTCGGATCGTCTCCAAGGTGGAGAGAAAGGAGTTACTGAGGACATAAACCAAAACTTTTACAAACTGGGCTCAATTCTCCAAGGCTCTTAACTCTTGTTGCAACCTTTTTAACAACTTCCACTCCAAAGAATGCTTGCCCTACTTGTCGTTGCCGTTGCTGAATTTGAGTGCGCCAAAACCGTTTGCTTGATGGATTGAAGAAACTAATCTGCGAGCGGCGAGGCCTTAATTTGGTGACCCCGGAACCCACAACACCCCAAAAATAAATTTATACCGGCGCATTGGGAAAAAGCTTTTGGTGCACCATAAGCAATTGTGGGAAATAAAGTTACGTAACCTACTGAAAGATAACGATGACGGTTGCGTCTCTTTCGGGACGTAATTTTAGGAAATAAAAAACCGAGCGTGTTTAATAGTATCTGCTTTGCGAGAAGGCAACTTTATGGCGGGAAATGATGCTGACTAGCGACACTCTTGGTTGATCACCTCGCTACTCTATGTGCTTCATGCTTATTTTAGTTGCATAGGAACTGATTTCTGAAACTATCTTTCTGCTGATGCCGAAATAAAGCTTAGAACAATTACCACCGTCGAAATCATGAAGTTTATTTAAGCTTTACCGAGCCCGAAGACACCAAGACCATCATCTATGTCAGGTAAAGGCCTATCTGTCTCTTGTCTGCCGTTGGCAAAGCAGTCCTACTACGCCGCTTGAAAGCGTTTGTTGACTGAAGACACGCCTTGCAAGAGTTTTAATTTGAATTTCGACCAGGACACTCCATGTAGCAACAGCTTTCCCGCCTGACAGAGTAGATGCTATCAAGCAACAAGTGCCCTTCTTTTTTATATCAAAAAAGCGTTTGACTAAGTTTGGTACAAAAGCTTGTTTCACTATCGCGCACTCTACACCACCCTACTGTACTTTTTAACGTGAACAACTCATACCTTAGGGGTCGCGTCTTCGATATACGTGTGCGCTATGCGCGCGCACCCCTAAGATCACTAACAACTGGAGCCCCACAAGTATCTCTTCTATTACTTTTACTCTTTGCACTTTTATGTGCACAATTTACCACAACCTGACGACCCTCACAGGCGGAAACCTTATATGCGTATGACAGGGCGATATCCCCGTGGTCCAAGTCCACCAGACTTATTGCGCTAGAATCTGCAGTACTACCTAGTGACGCTGACCAACTGGTATCGTCGTTAGAAAATTACTCTGACTGCAAAAAAGATGAAAGCCTTTTTTACCACAGAGAAGCGCCCTGCATCATTACCGCCGCTGACAGAAAACAAGGTAAAGCTCTGGTACCCCCGGGAGAGATACCTAGTATTATTATTAACAATAAGCGTTCAAGGCGGCCCACGTAAACTATATCGCGACGAATGTCAAGGTGGTTGTTTAAACCTTACACACCCTTTACTAGGTACATGAAGTAAACTCATTTCACAACAAACGATGCTTGTATATGTTTTTCGACTACTGCCTGGCCTACAACTTACTGGCAATAGTCTCTTCGTTTTAATTGAAACAAAACAATCTTCTACGCCTTATAGCTAGTGCGCCGTGGTTTGTCCGTAACCTCTAGATTTGAACCTCTGGGTAACGTTTTTCGATGCAATGCTAACACCTAACATTGACCCGGTCTGCACACCAATTGGCTACTGATAGATGAGGACGATTTCGGATTTAGGACGCCGTACGCTATAACCCATCGCGGGATGGGCTCTAAATTTATATGGGTACAGCCAAATTTTCGAGTAAAACAAATATGTATATATGAGGTTACTTTGAAAGATCATGTTTATTTCTTACTACCCGACCGAGCACTAGAAATTACCATTATTACTATTAAAAAATTGTGGGGCTGGTTCATTTTTGTTCCTCATTTTTATTCTTTTTCTATTGATGTTTAACGAACTTTACGCCTTTGTTATAGTGGCTTGACATTGGTTTAGAAGACCAGTGATACTGTTTAAGATTGTTTCTGTCTAGAAGACTAGTATAGTATAAAACCTGAATGTCTAGAGGATTACACATTAAGACTTTATTTTAAACAATGGCTTGCTTTCAGCTAACTTACTACCTATAAAACCTCGACTTTCGAATCCAAGACGCTTTTTTCTCTTAATCACCCCTGTAGACAATCAGGTTACTTTAACTTAATCCTCAAAACTGAAATCACCGTCTACTAGTAGTAGTCCTTTAAACTTAAAGGAAAATAGTGATAAGATACAAACTAATAAAACAAATTTTTCTCAACAATTTTTATTGTTATATTACAAGGAGAATGAAACATTTAATAACAAAAATACTATAATAAAGTTTTTACCAAAGAAACTAATTTTTTTATGTTATATTAAAATAAGGATAGAAAAAAAGATAGAAAAATATAAAGTAATAATTATAATAGAATAGTTTTTAACAAACAAAACAATAATTTTTTGCAGAGGCTTGGTAGAATGCGTGCGTGAGACACAATTGCTATCCTGTGTTACTCATTAGAAGGAATATTAATGCCTCCTTAAGGGAAAGACTGTGGGATAGCGGACCCGGAGTACTGCTTTTCAGTCTAGGGAGTGAAGAAAGGCTAGTAACTACCATCAAGTTGTAATAATAAGCAACACGCAGTGCACAGGTGTAAACCGTTAGTTACTATTTTTGAGCTTGCATTAAACTGTGAACTATTTTGGCAATCATGTGTTCACGCGCTATATCGCTATATTTTCCTATTAGTATCTTCCTAAAAACATTATTAGGTCGAAATCTGCTTAAATTGTGTTAAACATCCATTTTAAAAAAAAAAGCGTTTTATTTATCTCAATATAACTGCAAACAATAAAATAAGGATTTTCTAAAAAATTACTTTTTGTTTAGTTGATAATTTTGAGTAGGAAGTTAGAAATCTCCCCATAATTTTTAACTGGGGCTACTTTAACAAATCATAATTGTCTTTTTAGATGTAGTTTTTTTTTTCTACTTTAATATTTTATATAAATAGTTACAAAGATGGCAAGCACCGAGAACACATAGCTAGCATGTTCTAAAGGTTTCACTCACAAACTTATAAGCCGTTAAACTTGAATTTAACTGCTTTACATTTGCCCCAAAATGCTTTAAATGCGAAGAGGTTGCCGTAAAAGTTTTTGAAAAATGTAAACTGTGAAATTTATACACCACTAGCTATGAAGGTTGCCATAAGTGTTTATACTTATTATACTAAACCTACGGAAGACCTTAAAATCTTCAGCTTCCAATTTAGATTTGATAAGTGTTTACAGTCTGGTAATCACATTCACCCCTGAGAGAGAATTACTGCAGTTTATAAGAAAACTAACTAATATTTTGTAATAACATAGAAGTAAGCTCAAGATTATTTTGGGGTGCGGGTGAACTTCGCTATGATAACGAAAAGGTCAAAACTTGAAACAAATAAATGATTGGTCTTCTTTCTTTAGTCACACTTTAAACCAGGGAATAAGTTTATGGTATAAAGCTTTAATTACTTATTGAATTTTTTTTTCTTGTGCTGCAGAAAAGTTGATGTAGTTCATAGTAATAAATACCCTAAACACCCAACACTTCTTTTGAAAGGTTTGCATAATTTTGTAGCTATTGCTATTGAAAGTTATCTACTCGAACAAGGCTACTGAGCATCATATCGACTTACAGTTTCACCACGTAAAGACCATTTAAAAAATCTTCTTATACTATTCTAGTATTAACAAGCAACAGTACTTTGTGATAATCTTAACTAGAAAGCCTCTGGAATTTGACTTTAATCGTAATTATACCGTACGCCGATTATAGAAGTTACTGCTAGCTATTCATTTGTCTTTTGTGCATTCACAAAGAGCTTAATTAAATATTTATAAGCTACCTTTGTTATACAAGTTTTCAAAACATATTAAGTAATACCGTTGAGAAAATAAATATCCTTTAACTGGTGGGTGCCTAGGGAGATCAACATGGACGGCTAATTGGTTTTTTTGTTTAATGTCATGTTTTCAAGATGTTGTAAGCGTCCCATCGAATAAGGCGTCACCGCTCGTAGTAAAGACCTTCAGTGAATCAGGCAGACTGCTAAGGCAGTTCTTGAACCAATTGTCTTCGTGACGATGCGATACGCCAGGGACACACCGCCCTCGAACGCAGTTATAGTAAAGTCAAGTGGTGTTGGGTGTCGTAGGTAGTGCTTAAATCGCTAAAAGGCTCATCTTAAGAAACTAGGCGAATTAGTCCGGCCTGTAAGTGTCCCAATCGCTAGTAAGACTGGCCAAAGGTCTAACAAAGTCCGAAAAGAACCTCTATTGCTTTCAGAAGATGAACAATTAATAATAATAATAATAATAATAATAGAAAGGCCATCCAGCAGGTTCCTTCCCCATGTGCGTTGGGCACTGCTCTCCTACGACGCGAAATCCGCGCTCATTGGTGTATGTCTCGAGAACCAAGCCATTGAGTTTCAGACGCGACTGTTCCAAGAGGGACAATCCAGAAGGAATAAAGGTTTTTAGTGGCTTTCCCGGGGGGTCTTATAAGGATTTATAAATGCGAGCCCCAATTCGGTCTTTCTAATTGGCTAAGTAGAGATACCTCAATGTTCTGCAGAATTAATAGATATCGCTCGCACCGCGTTGCAAAGTTAGACCAGTAATATAAAGCTTTACTAGCTTCTAGGTACAAATTAAATTATGAATGCTAACATTAGTAACTGTAATAATACTTTATTATTATAAATAGCACTTAGATTACTAAATAATTTGGGTTAATATACTTATTAAAATTAATGTAAATTTCGTTTGTTTCCCATGTAAAAAAGCTTATTTTCGTTACATGGTTTGTCTGGTTTAGATTAGAATCAAACCTGTCATGCGAACTCTACAATGTCACTTGGCTTTTTTTAAACCATTGGAAAAGGACTATGGTTGCCGAAGCCATCCCAGGTTGAGGTTGTTGTGCTGCGCCGATTTGAATGCAATGAGTCTTCGAAATTTTATTTTGAAGTTAAGTAAAGTTTCTCTATTGCACTATAGTTACTGCATCTTGTTTCTTGTACAAATCACGACTTTTTACTTAATAGTAGACATGTCGAAAAAGGCCTCTTTAGATGTTCTCCGGGCCCTTCACAATCTTAAAAAGTAATTCACACGTTAATTCATTTTGCTAATAGTTAAGGACCCTATAATATTTTTCTAGCATATAATTTAAACACCTAGTACAAGAATCTAATAAATATTATGTGCAAGGTTGTCATTAAGCATAAGTAGTTTTATAAACTCAAATTAGCTTTCTTCAACTAAGAAAGTAAACTCTTTGAAATAACAAAACTAGTGCACAGCCACTAAACCGGCTGTAACTTTAATGACTTCGTCTACTAGCAATGCTATTACATCTGTATTAAAATTTCTTTTTGCTCTATAAAAATCCATTAAAATGCGCAGTGAACTTTAAAAGAATTAAAAAGGATAAAAACTGCTGTAAATAGAAATATGAGGAATCAAGATGATAGAGCGTAGTGCTATATGAGCTGAGCTAACCTATAATACTTTTAAATAAATAGTTAAACTGTTACAGCTGTTATTGCGATGCATCTATAATACTCTTTAATTAGAAAGTAGGCAACGTGCAAGCAAAGAGGAAACGTGCACACAGCAGTGTTTAAATAAAGAACTTAAATCTTCATTAGTTAAAACACCCTTTCTTAGTGAGCTTCAGGTTGACTTCAGCGCCTAAAACAGTAAAATTGGTATATGCAGTAGTAGGCTGATTGAACTGTTTTACAACTATACCCGGAGTACATATATAGGTTGGGCGTAGTCTCCTCAAGTACTCTGGTTAAAAAACATAAATTTACATGTACCGTCATGCTCGCAAAGAACTTTCTTATGCCCATTCCTACTGAACAATGGGTAAATAAAATGAATTAAAATTAAATTGATAACCGACCTTCTCTTTTAAAGCTATATTGATTTCTAAACTTACTCTTAATTGGAGAGTAAGTTTTAGGGGCTGCTTAACTAATTGAATAATTCAAACTCAAATCAATACCATTGTTCTTTTCTATCAAGATGAATTAGTTGTGTAAACTCACACAATAGGATTTTCATATTATTTGAGGTGGCACTATAAGTTAGTATATGCCTTCAAATAGCTCTATCCGTTTTACTGACGTAAAGCTGCTCACTGAACAGCCCTCTTTTTTGTCTTAAAATAAGCGCTACAGTTTCACTTTAAGATCGGGCATAGGGGATTGACCAGAATAAACAAAATAATAAATTTCAATAAAGTACTAAGGGCGAGGACAATCTATTATTTTTACTTCCTCCTCCAAATAAAGTGTAGCAGAAATAAATTTAACTCGACGTTGATTCACAATATAAGCCCTTCCACCAATTTTAGTTGTGTAGATCGTGATAGTCAGGCTTTAATGTTAAATTTACCACTAAAAAACCTGATGCCGAAGGACGCTTAATAATAATTGAACAGTAACGATTAATGTCTTTTTATTATACCACTGAACTATTATAACCTGTGTAAACCCCATCCTTAAAAAGGGGATTCGTAGCACTGACATCTACTGACTTATTGCGAAACTGAATATCAAAATTCCTCTTGAAATACTTGTGTTTATATGCTATGAACACACTTATTATAATAACTAAAGCAATAATTGCAAAAGTTATAATCAAAATATATTTTGGGTTGACCAGGAGGCTTCCAAGTAATCTCTATAAAAGTAGAATTAATGTGTATTTAAAAAGTCTTTAATAACAGCAGTACCCCTTTTTTGCCTCTATCACGTCTTTTTGCTGTTAATTCCTCGCCACTACCATAGCCGAGCCAAAGAGAGTCATTTTTTATCTTCTATACCCACAACAAACTCAAACTAAGCAGTAAAGCGGAGGAGTATTACCTTAATATAGCTCTCGACAGGCCATTGATTTTTTACTTGTGAGTCGCTCTTTATCTTTTAAGTAACATCGACATGTTTACAACTAGCTCTCTATCTACTAAAAAGAAAATTTGCCTTTTTAATTTCGCTAACTCTTTTTTTCACATTCTGATTCTTGTTAGTGGACGAGTTTACAAGGACTTTGAGGGGCAAATCCAACCGAACCACCTGCTACGTGTAATAAGGCTAGGGAATACTACTTCATTGGAAGTTCCAGCCGCTATGTTGCGTTATTTTTTATGTTAAAGCGCACTTAAAGCTTCTATAACTAAATGCTAAAGACCGGACTACTAAGGAAAAGTTGAATATATGAAAAGAACTAAAAAATTAATTTTCACAGTCCATTTATACTTTACATTTACAAATTAAATCGTGAGCAATGATTTATCAAATTTATTGTAGGGATACCGTAACCAAAACGTCAAGTTTAAGTGCTACCTTTTTCTTTTGGGCTTTTTGAGCACTTGCTGCCGAAGAGGAATAACACTTCTTCTTTGCAAAGCTATTATACTCTTCTAGTGCACCTCGATAGGTGCAACTGGAATCTGAATAACGAAGGCTTGGATAAAGAACGCGCGAGCAGCAGAGAAAAGTCTTATTGAGGGATAAGGAACTGTGTTAAATAAATAAAGAGTTAAAAAACGAAGGAGTAGCACAAAAAAAGTTAACAATTTTGCATAATTAAAGGTAAGACCAAATGCGTCGGGCCCGATCTCAGTTATAGGATTACGAGATAAAAACCTAAGATTTATTGTGTAAGACAGATAGAAGTACACAAACATATATTACAACAAAAGATACGTTTGCTATAGCATAATTAAGTGAACAATAAAAAGGCTCTGCTAACATTAATGTTCTATTAAAACTTTTAGTAGTATGACTCTTGAAAAATGATATTTTTATTTCAGTAACAAAAGAGAGCCATTTTTATTATAATAATTTAAGTAATACTTGTGTAAAGCTTTCGTAAAGAAGCATAAGCTTACAAGCTCGTTAGTCCCGTTAGTAATCTAAAGGAATTTGCCGCAATAGATTTAATGTTATTATCCGAAAGATGTCTAACGCAAAATAGGTTTATGAACATTTTTTATGTCTAAAAGAAATAGACTTAAAGATGAAGCTAAATTGGTCGTAACCTCCTTCATACTTTAAGATTACAGTAATTTTTTAAAAAAAAGAGCTTACAAGATTTGTAATTTATTCAGGCCCTTAAACATACCATCGTGGATCGCTGTAAGTCTGTTATTATTTAACTCCCTTATAAAAATTTACAGATAATTTAATCATGAGAAGCTTTCGTTAAGAGGCTAAGTCTATGAATTCGCTAAGGTAGCAAATAGTCAAGTGATGGGGATATCTAACTAATCTCTGTATACTATAACTATGAATTTTATGCATGTGGGCAAAGGAGCTAACCTAGGCAATTGTAAAGTCAATCTAATTAAAGCTATACTGTAGGTAAAAATATTATGAATATATTCCAAAATAACTTTCCATAGAACTTGAAGAACTATGGCTAACTTACAAAAAGAGCAACTCTGTCAACCGAGAAAATGTATTATCAGCTATCGATACAATGGAGCATCCGCATAGAGAACTGAGAAAAGTAGTTAATCAATCTAGCTTTAAAAGGTTTAGCTACGCAAGCGTTCTTACAACCATTTAATAGTTGCTCTCTTAGCCTAAAATTAGAAAAAGTTTATATTGTTATTATTAGTAGTGACGTACAGCAGTTTTAGATTAGGCAGATCTTCAAAATCATCGTAGTCTACTGAGGTGATCGGATTATAAGATAAATCCCTTTAAGACAATCATTCACAGAGAAAATGCGTAGCATAATAAAAATAGCATTTAAAGTCATAATTTTTTTTTAGATTTTTAATAAACATACAAGTCGGTTAATGCCCTCAGTTTGGAAAGTGAAGCAGCTCCCAACGATTTTATACTGTTTTCACTCAGCGATCTATAAATAGTTCAACACATTTTTATAGTTCGAAGTCACGAAAGGCAGTCTTATAAAAATAAGTAAACAAATAAGTCAAAATGCTATAAATAAATCTATTAGGCCACATTACAAGACCTCGAATTTTTTAAAACCGTTGAAAAGCCTCTCTTTTTATTTTATAAATATTTTTTAAAAGTCATCTTCTCATAGCGCAGCACCTTGGAAAAAAATATTTACGTCTTTTACATGATTGCAAGCTGCTATTGACATATCAAACTATCATTAGATGACTATAATTAAAATAAGCCTCCAGAGAACCCTTACGCTCCCTTTAGTGATTAATTTAGTTTTATTTAAAACAATATATATATATATATATTACTTACAAAGCTTCAAGGCTTATTAAATCTATGAACGTGTTTTTATTAAGTGACGTCAGGCGATTCCCACCCAAATTTCTTAATATGTATTAATTATAAATTTGCATGGGTAAAAGTGTTATTAAATATAAAGTTGAATGCTGTCTTACAAGGTAGTAATGTTGCTTAAACCTTCAAATAGCTTATCACTTATTGACGTTAAGCAATTGCTGCCTAAGTTCCTGTGTCATTTATTAATAAACGCAGTATATATTCTGTTAGTTTATAATAGCAACTGAGTGTATTACGTAATGATAATGTAAAACTACTAAGAAAGGCTTAGTAAACTTCAGTAAATACAAGTACTGAATTAGCTTATTAGTATAATATTTCGATAATTTTAAGTTGAGTGGGGGATTCGGAGTACGCACAAAATTATTGCAACTACATAACACAACAGAAATTATTAAATACTTAAATAACCTACGTTAGAAAAATAATAATTTAAAAAGTTGTGGGTGCCGTAGAAGAGTTAGAAATTAATAATAAAATTAGAAAAAGGAAAAATTTTTTATAAAGAATATAAAATTATATTTTAGTAAAAAAATGAACTCACAATATATAAATATTTTCTTGGGAACACTGCCTACTAAAGTTGTTGCGTAAAAATTTTAGTAAAAAATTTTAGTTTACAGCTAGAATTTTAAGGTTTCCACCAATATTATCGGTACTTTCAGAGAAACTTGAAAAATTACGCCAGCAAATAAAAAAGTATTATTTCGTTGTGATGGTAAAGCTAGAACTCTTTTTACGCTTTTAACAATATTCGTTATTTTATTATTAATATTTTTCAAAAAATGAAAAGCCGATTTATAGGGAGCTAATACTTAATACGCATAAGTTTAGTAAAGGGAATTATAAGAACAACTTAAATTGACATTATCGGTGTAGAGATGGGAATTTTTGACGAGGCTTAAACAGTTATGTAATTTATAGTACAAAAGCTCCAGCGACTTAAGATCGTCAAACGAGCCTTCCTCTATAAACTCAAGTTTATTTTTGCTTATCAATCTATAAGTATAAATTGTAAAATTATTTATCAAATAAAAATATATAATGTCAACTGCTAACTGCTAAGTAGACTGGTAGAAAGTCTCCAAAGCGGTTAGTTTCGGTAGCTATATAATTAGGCCATAACTAATGCCTTTTTTTCCAACTAAAAAGTCATTTCAAGCTAATTTCATATATTGCATATTGACTCTAGAGTAATTAACGGGCAACTTTTAGTATAAAACTATAGTTAACTTACAAGTTTATGAGGTTTTTCAGGTTTTTAAAGTTATGCTTGTTAATTGAGGTAAGACCATTATCGTTCAATCCCCTTTAAAGTTTATTAAGTTTTACAAAACTATATTATAAGGTAAACTAAGTTATTATAAATAAGGTTCTAATCTGTATACAAGAGATATAGATCTTCAAGGTTCTTGAAAAGATCTTTAGGAAGTAAAGTAATATTATTCCCGCTCAAGTCTCTACAGCATTAACAAATTAATATAGTAAAGAGATTATATAACTCAAGTAATTAATTTAATTAAAAAAAATAACATATGCCCATCTACCCCTATACCTCTGTGAAAATAGATACACATTGATGCAACAATAGGAGCCTACTACCCTGACCAACTAATATATTAAAGCAGCTAGTAGAAAGCAAACTCTTTCAATTCCACTAAATTACTAATATTGTACTTTTTAATTTGTATATTTTATCTTTCATTTTAACTATTAATTAAAGGCAGTATTAATTTTTTTCTAGGATGTTCGCCACCTTGACTAAAGACGGTTTGAAGACTTCCTCTTCCCACTTTTTTAGTTTCTCACACTTACACTAATAAATTTTGAAATTAATTCTGTTTTCCTCAATATAAATACATCTCCCTCTCTCTTTAACAAGTTTTAGTAAACTTTTCAACGGAATACTCGACATCTATTTCAATTTTATTTTTATTTTAAATATTTTTGTTCATTTATAATCGTGGCTTAAATTATTGTCTTTAATTAGCAACTAAGTGGATTAAATTAGTTTAGACAGACTAAGGTAACCCTGTCTTCATGTATCTTCAACAAAAATATTGAAACCTTAAAGTCAGAAGTAATAACATTAAAGATAGTGACTTACAAAAGCAGTACGTTTGAGGAGAACTGGTCGCCGGTTGGAAGTGGAACAGACAAAAAACATTTCGCTAACTCTCTTTTTATAAAATTTAAAAATACTAAATTATTTGAGCTTCTCGGAAATATTTTGCCACAAATTAGAGCATCAAAAGTAATATAACCTAGAAACCCATTTACTATTTTTTAAACTTTACGCTATAAAAACGGCTATCGTTTCACGCGACAGCGCCTAACTATCTCCCGTGCTAGTTATCCATAACAAATTGCTGTCGTTTAAAAACGAAAATATACAAACATGCTGATGATATCGCTCTTTAAATAAAAGGCTAGAGGGGGCTCTCATACAAATTAGTCAGCCAAATAGAACTTACTCTTCTCTCTTATTATATGGCCCTTCACATCTCTCTCGAGAGTACACTCCTTGCCCTAGCGCCCCTAAGAAAAGCAACAACAACAAAGCGCCCATGTAAACCAAATTTTGGACTATTGAAACCAGTCGTATACTGTATAAATACAATAAAAATCTTATTTTTCATCTATTTTTTGTTTTTTTTTATTAGATAAATTAGATTAAAAAAGCTTGTGATAAGATGTTTTACTATCAAAAAGTGTTTAGTCATTTAAGAAATAATAAGTTTTGATCAACAAATAAAGCTAGTTACGTGAAGTTTATTTAATTTTTGTTATAGTACTAAGTAAAGATGAATATAAAAAAAAATAAATAAATTATACGTAGTACTAAAAATAGCTTAAAAGAGAAATAAAGCCGTAAACAACCACCTTTTAATCTAAGAGCTACATTTACTTTGCTTTAAATAAGTGCATTGTATGTATGAACGCGCATATAAATTGACTTTGATGTTTACTATAAACTTAAAAAGAAAAGAAAGAGCGAGAGTTTTTTTAATACCTTAAAAAAATTTAACTAAAATTTTATTTCCTTAAAATTAAGTTTATAATATAATACTAATTCTGAAAAGTTTACTGAGCTGGGGGTGTACGCTAGCATATTTACTTTGATTGAAAAATGTAAGGGGATGCATAAAAATTTTCTAAATTGGTTAACTCTAAGGCAAATTTTGTTGACATTAATATAAGAAAAGACCACTAACTAACCCTTTAAAAATTATAAAAGTCTAAATAAATATTGTCAATAACATCACATTGCAATGTACTTTTGAGTGGAATTAAAATTATATAAATTTAATTAAAACTTTTTTTCACGTGTATAAAAGTTTTATTAAAACACCTGAGAGGTAGATTTAAGGTTTTATACATCTTGTTATTTACCTATTAACATAACTAAAGGTTTGATAGAGTTTACTAAATACTAATTTGATACTGTTTAAATAAATTTTTTTTAAAAAATTGTGCGGTTATTGTTATAATTTTTTCCTTCCTAGCCTGAATTTCCTTTTCAGTACTCCAGTTAGCTTAACAAAGATGTAGTTTGTTTCTTTTTCAACGCATCTAGATTAACTGTTTAAACATTAATAGGAGATAATACGATACATTACACATAAAAATATATTTATTAAACTTTACCTAAAAAGCCTTTCAAGACCTAATTAATTTAAATGGTCTTCAGCAGAGCGGATTCTATTTATTACAAAGGAAATAATTTGGTTAACCGTAAAACTGTCTTACGAACTATAATATTATTCAACGTATTATCTCCCTTCTTAGTGTACAATATAAAGTTTGTTATAATAACTTTTAATAGATGTTTTATAAATGATAATAAGAAGAGGTCTATAGATATTTAATAAAAAATAACGCCTTTTTTATTCTGTGAAATTAACTTACTTCTTGTCCTTACTATACCGCTTAAGTTGAACATTTTTAATGTAAAAATACCACCCAGTATTCAAAAGGATTTAATTACTAACTAATTTTTGCATGTAACGGTTGGCTATTTAAGGCAAAATATATACAGAGTTTTAGATCAGCACAAATATACAATTATATAGATATTTGCGTGATGTCTTAGTACAAATTTGTTATCTTTAAAAAAAGCTTAAAAAAATTTTTTTTATTCTATTCCATTTTAAACAAATTGATACTTCTCTTAGTCAAGTTTTGGTTTTCATCAGGAATAGTGTATTATTGTCACATGTCCATTACATATAAGTAATAGTTCAACTTAGTAAAAGTTTTGAGTGTCTCTACAACATTTATGGTGGATCACATTTCATTAAAGAAATTATTTAGCTTGTTATCAGACTCTTAATTATTTGAGACAGCCTCTCTGAGGGAGGGACGTTTGACCACCGTACGCCCAGCATTTTCAGAATCACATATAAACTTTTTAATCACCCCTTTTTTTACGATTTTTTTTGAGTTATTGGAGCCCATAATTTAGAAATGGTTTCTCTTGAGAAGGAAAAGCTGTGTGTTTTTAATATGTAAAAGCCTACACGGTAATTGTTATTTCCAAAAGAAAAGCGTATTTGTTGTGCGCACATTGGCGTTAGTAGTAGATCAAACATTCCTTTTTGATAAATTATAACTTTGAGTAATAAAAGATGGCATGTGCTGCGCTTCCAAACAAACTTATTAGTCTTTTTACGACACCTTTAGCCTTTTTCTTGCAGAAAATAATATTTAAAATTAAAAAAGGCGTTTATTATGCCACATAATTATAATAATGCTGGCTTACTATATATATTTAAGACATTTGGTATATAACCGGCCCATGTAGCTTGCTTAAAATGCTTAAAGTTTAGTTGGCAGAACCGAACTGTATATTGATAAAGCGTCCAAGCGCAGTGTCTCCACTATATTAAAAATGAGAATAATGAAAGTTGGTCACCTTTATATTAAACTTAAGCAGTGAACTTTCGAAGGTACAAAAAAGTTGCTTAGCATAAACTTATAAGCTTACTAAAATAAAAAGCCAAGGAACTAAATGTTTAACCTAAGAAGAAATATTTTCATTGCACATGTAAACCCCTGGAATATCCTTTACAAGACTTCGATTCTATTATGTCACTAACGTTGCAAAGGATAGAATATCTTAAAATTGAACATCTTTAAAAAGGCCTACAGTTGTATGTTGACGCTATTGTCTTTAGTACCAACGTTTTTCTAGCTTTATAGCTAAAATTACTTTTTTTTTTTGGTTGGCGTTAGAACTTAATATGCTGCTTAAATTTAGTTGAAATTATGATTGGTCGACGTTTAGAAAATAATTGTAGAGAAATTACCTAAAAAAATCTTTAATAGGAATAGGGAATATGCAAGAAGAGGAACTTATTAATAAAGAAAACAGAAAAATAAAGAAATATATGTATGTTTATATATGAACTACTAAACTAAAAAGTGCAACATTTTTAGGTAGTTATATCTCGAATGCGTTTTCAAATAAAAACTTTGTCAACGAAATTCTATTTACGATTTTAAAAATGCAGTTGTTTATTAATAAATTAAAAAAATTATTCTTTATTAATAGCTATTATATAACAAGAGAAGAGGTTTAAAAGCATAACGGATTTCCATGCCATCAAATATAACACCGCAAATTTGAGCAGACAAATTTAATGTTTCATTTTTTAATTTTTTTTGTTCTTATCTGTATTATTAACAGTTTTAATAAATTTTATAATTGAGAATAAGAATTTTTTAGAAAAATGAAAACGAATAAATTCATAAACCATACTATAATTAAAAAAAGTTAGTATATTTATGTAATATCTCCGTGACAAGGAGTTGATTGAGGAGAGGTAATTTTTTGTTTCTTTTATGTATTAAAACACTTCACTCTCTTATAGCTTGTTATATTAATATTATACCCATTCTATTGACAAACATCTGGACTAAAAAGGAGTTGTATATCAAACATTAAATTCATTAATTTCTCAGCTTTCTTTCAAATTTGTAGGGTATAATTTTTTGTGGATATACTTTCCTGCTTTCTTTAAGTGTTAAAAAACCACGAGTTAGAGAACTAAAAATTAAGGGTTAGTTTATGATGACTAGCCTAGAGAATTGGTTCTAAATAGGCTGTTAAACTATGACCACCTTGGTCAAAGCGATTCTACAAAACTGTGACCAAGTTGCACTTTATTTGGCGAAAGTCCCACCCTATATCTTTCATCTTCAAATAAAAAATCTTTTTAAGCAGCTGCACATGAAATATTAAATGTGATGTGGTATCAAGATAACCCAGTTTTAAAGGAAATGCTTAAAAAAACTAAGATTAGTGAGAAGCTAATGTAACCTAATAGATTTATAACCACATATCGATAGCCATTTATAAGAATCGACAATTATACTTAAAGTTACCTTGGCAGCCTCCGCCTTTTTTAGGTAAGGTCTTTAATAGTTCTTCAAGTATAAGCAGGCACTAAAAAAATATAATTTGGGGATTTGAATTATTACTATTATATATAGAAAAATCAAAAGAGTAATATTTGGGCATATACTCAAGTTTCCAGTACTTAAAACCCTTTTTTTCATGTTTTTAAAAACTGAACCGTAGATATATCTAAATTATTATTATACTTTAGTCGCAGAAAAGAAAGCAGCTTTCCATTTATTTTGTTGTACCCTTTCAGGAGTCTAGTATATCTTTGAGTTAGACATGCTATTATTCTTAAAGTTACTAGAGGAATACAATTTTAAAAAACATCTCTTTGCTAACAATTGATGTCCCTTTATAAAAAGTACAAACACCATGTCAATTAAAAAAGAAATAAGTAAAACTTTATAATGACCAAAATTGTTAAATGGCATCATAGGAAGGTTATCATGCTTCTCTATTCATAGAGTAAACATACAAGATAGTTCCAATATATGGTTTTTTTTTAATGGTATAAATTGTAAACTCTGCATAAATACTAAATTTGAATGACACCAGTGATAACAGTTGTTCCGCAAGCTTCTCTTTTTTTTATCGTACCAAAAGAGGTAAAAACCCCATTTAACTGCTTATAGTAAATTTGAGTTAGCAGAATAATATTTCTCAAGGACGGCAGAACACCTTCTAAAACTAATAAAAACCTATAAATATTTATTTAGTCCCCCGTATATCTTTTCCAGTTTCAATTTATATAAGCCTTGAGATAATGAGGAGTGTAGTTAATGAAATTTTAATTACGGTTAAAAAAAAATTGATTCCCTATCAGGTTAAGCACTTACAAATTTTGGTTAATACCCATGAAATTAAATATCCCTTGAGGTGGTGAGGAGAGGTAGATCCTGAAAAAATTGGTCCCGACCAGATCAAGCACTTATATATTATGGTTAACAGAGTTTCGGGGAGTAGTACAATAAATAAGGTTAAACTTTTTATGTACTAATAATGCAGGCGATGCCTCAATAGGTAGTTTTAGATCGAACTTAAAAACAAGTTAATTAACTATATACTTTCAATAATCAATTTAACTTAAGTTTTTTCCCTTTAACCCATAGAAGATATCCGAAAGTAATATTAATTTTTTTAGAACTATCGGCATGGT